TAAAAAGGTCTATTAGCTTATCATTTTATAAACTATGGTCAGTCAATCAGTATAATTGAGGCGATTAGATTAGTGTTACTACCATGAAACACGCTTTACATTACATAGGCAGCGTCAACGATAAACAAGGGAGATCTGATGCAGATATGAAGGAATGGATTAGCAAAGCAAGGGGAACATTTCTACAACTGGAGAATGCCTGAGAGTCAAATGAACTATCACCTAAAACCATAATCAGAATTTTCCATTCAGACGTCAAGATAGTTCTATTATACGGGACCGAAACTTGAAGAACGACTATCAAGAAGTATAGGCATTTATGAACAGCCGTCTATGAAAAATATTATACATCCATTGGCCGAACAGCACTAGTAACAACTTATTTTGGCAGAAAACAAACCAAATTCCATTTGAGGAAGAAATTAGGAGAGGACGCTGGAGTTGGACAGAACTCATATTGCGGAAAACATCAAACTGCATCACGATGCAAGCGATAACTTGGAATCCTTAAGACGAAAGGAGAAAAGGCAAAGCAAAGCACACATGACTCCGGGAATATGATGCAAGCATGAAGGCCATGAGTAGCACTTGATAAGGACTAGAAAGGAAAGCCGAGGAAAGAATCGCTCAAAGAAACCTGGTTGGCGGCCTATGCCACACTAAGCGTAATAGATTTAAGTAAATAATCTTGAAACCCAAAGTTCGATAGTTTGAACAGATTTTGTGCATACTTTTTCAATGGGTACCATACCATGTACTGTGAAAAAGTATTTAGGTTGGAACACCTAGTAAAATAGATAACTATGTGGGATTTACGCCACTCGGTTTTTCACGACAATTGAGATTGGATTCTGACCGTTGTGTAACTCAATGGCGTAAAACCTTAATAGGTATTACTCCAAACAAAAGTCAGTGACAACCTTGTCATATTTTTCTGTTATATTCCTCAAAAACAATTAGATGTACATTTTAACTAGATGAAGTCTACCTTAAGGTTTTTTCTCAACATTTACTTATGAAAAATTACTTCTCTCTACGTTCTATTTGTTTAGAATACTGAAAGTAGGTTTTGTGTAATACATTTCTTAGTACCAGATTGACAGAGTACTTTGACAATATAATAACAAGAAATTGGACAAAAAACTAACTGATTACGTATATGTGTGTATGTATCGCGTTAATTAACAACCAATAAACCCATTACAATGAACTTCAAACTAACACTTGATGAGATGGTAAATTAAAAGCTCGAAAGACAAATCATTAAGGAATTCTTCATGTCGTAATTACACAACTAATCACAGCCTTCATTTTATAGATGAACTACTTAACAAATCTCCGGAAAATTTTAATAAACTGAGTTTATTTTTAGGATTCGCTCATGATATTTTCTTGGATTATAATAAGGACTCTAAAATCAAGCGACACTCAGATTATATCAAGGGCTTCAACGTAACTCAACAGGTATTAGAATAAAAATATGTACAAAAAGTATTTATAGCTGAAAAGGAGCATTCTGCAGATATTCAACTGTCTTAGCTGAATAAAACTTAGGACAAGCGCCAATTTAATGATTCTAGAAGAATAGCAGGGATCCATTTTATTTCATTTGGTTCATGCTATTCTGATAGAATCTTTGTTCTTGCTCTCTTTAAAATGATAAAGGGGAGTATGTGTATGAAACTAATTTAATCGTTTCATGCTTTTACTGATACGCTTTCTACTTTAAACAACACCACATATTGAGATAGACGTCTTGCCATGTTGTTCTTAGTACTTGGTCAGTTTAATTGGGGGAAATTCATAATTTCACCTAACGGTTTAATTTCCTCCTGTTGGACTCTACACTTAAACATTTTACTTCCGATGAACCCAATACATAGAATAAGTATGAAATGTAATTATTCAGAATGAAGAATATGGAGTTCATGAACGCAAAATGCAAGAAACTCTGGACTTATATGTCAAGCCTGGTGGTGCTTCTTAAAAAAGTCCATCTCTAACTCTTAGGGGAAGTAACTCAGTAAAGTGTATCCTAGTATATTGAAAAGATAAGTAACATACTACAGAAAATTGATAAACTTCTCCATAACAGTTAATAAGATTTTTAATTTAAATTCGGTTAATAAATACACTTTTAAAGATTATTATATATTATTATTTTATACATGAATAGGTAATGAAAGAGAACAATGCGAAATTGAATAAATCACCTGACGATGGAAGTTATATTCGTGGCTTATATCTAGAAGGTGCTGGTTGGGATTCCACACTCAATTTATTATGTGAATCACGACCAAAAGAATTATTTGTCAATATGCCAGTTATATGGCTTATACCAACAGAAAATCGTAAATCACCAAGTCAAGGAATTTATGAATGTCCAGTATACAAAACGTTAACACGTGCAGGTAATGTCTATTTAGTTATGGTCAAGGAATTTATAATAATAGTATATGAAATATAAATTCCATGTTGAGTTAGTATTCATTAAGGAATTGATAAAAATAAGGAAGCGCTAGACAGATGCTTTGTTCCACTTGGGTACTTTTCAGAAATGCGAACCCATCACTCTTTGCCATTGAGTGTTTGAAACCAGATAAGAAATCGACCCCCTGTAGAATTGGGAGTGCGCACTACTAAGACAACTATTCATTCCGCCTTTATTCTCTGATTGGCATCAGTTCATTAAATATATATTCTGAAAATAATAATTACAGAATTCATGCCAGTTTGCAGATATGATCAACTTGACATAGACAATAATTTCAAACGTAGGGAACAGACATGTGATATAGAACCCCATGTAGACTAGTAAAGCTTCAAGTTCGACCAAGACAGTTTTCCGATGAGATTTCAGACATATATTTGGTACAGTGATACAATTTTGAACGGTATTAAATACGTTACATGTTAAAACGTTGTTGTTAAAATATCTGTTATAAACCGACACGTTTTTCAATAAATCTTTTGTTAACTTCCGACAAGTGCTTTACGTATGTAAGTTAGCAAGGCTCCTCAAGGACTAATCACAACAGCGGTTTTTCGAAAATACCTGTATTGGAATTAAAACCAAACTTCATCGACAGAGTAATAAGTTCTTCATGATTGCAACGCCAATAAAAAATAAATGGTTACTCAAGAAGGTATAGCCATACAGGATATTGACAGTCTTTATCAGAGATACCTATCTACACAAATACGAAACATTAAGCAACTAGAACGTCTGGCTATTTTTTAGCCCGTTATTGGTATCACTTCACAAAATTTAAATGTAGTAGTACGTAACAACATGATACGTGTTTTAGAATGTAGTTTAATCTCTATAGTATCGGGTAGTAGATATATTTAATGTTACCACATATCAAACTTAAATTTTTATGCGAATATCTCAATGTTAGTCCAGTGATAGTCGTGTTTCGTAAGGATGAATAAGAAGTAAGTTTAATAACTTACGAGATGTCCAGCATGAATGGATGAATAATGAAAAAAACTATGAATTACACTAAAAATTCTGGTTGTGTATATCAAATAACTCAATGATTCAAACGTTTGAAATGACTCATTATTAGTATATTTTACTCTACACTTGCAGGAACTCTATCAACTACTGGTCATTCAACAAATTTTGTATTTTCCATTGAAATTCCAACTGATCAACAACAAAAGCACTGGGTTCAACGTGGTGTAGCTTTATTATGTGCATTGAATTATTAAAACAATTAACACATTTGTATTGTTTAAATATAGAAAAATACAAATCAGATACCTTTGAGAGAAATGAATACAATATTATTACTATTAATCATACATATGTATCTGTTCTTTGCATTCGCTGTATTATTTTAATTATAATTAACACATCTTAAAAGAGAATACAAGTAGAAAAGAAATTCAAAAGAATTAGACAATGATGCAATATGTATGTATGTATCGTCGGTTTCCACAAACAGTTTTATTCTAGCATCTATCCCCTTCGAGGGACTGGCATTTATAACTCTCGTTTATAATAACTGGATAGAAGTTTGTTTAAAGATTTAAACTAGTTTACTCTCCAAGTACCTGGATTTGAGCTACACTATAAGTGTGAGGACTAGTGATACCATCTGGTTACTTAAACCGAAGTAGGTGGAGCATGGGTCCAACCTGTAATTCAGTGACTGAAAGTCGAACGCCATAACAAATAAGCCACCGCTCAAGACGTTTATACATATATACACACATATATGGTAAAAATAAATCTCTTGTGAGCTTCTGTTGATTGATATGTTTATGTGTGTAAACATGGGAGAGGAAACTCTCAAAATAATATTACGACGATTGTAGTACATAAAGTCAACTACTACTGATGAGCGGATAGCTCAGCCCAATATAATTGTCCAAAAGAAGCAAGATTATCAAAAGTAAATAAACTATTAGCATATTCAAAACAAACGTTATATTTAAAATAAACTGAAAAATTGCAACGAAATACTGACAAATACAGTATAAAAGCTGTCAATTATAATAAAAAAGGGGCTTTCTTTCCTCTCAATATTACAAAAACAACCACTGGACAATTAAGTTAATAGTACAATGGAAATAGACAATCTGAGATTATCTACAACATTCTCAATGTCCAATAAGTAAGACATATCAATCATTTTAGTTGTTTTTCTGTCCATTAAGTAAATGAACGTTTTGCACTAGTATAATTTTTATTGGAGATTCCACTTCCAGCTTCAACTTTTCACATGTTAATATTTGTCATCTGAGATTTTAGTCAACGTTAAACTAACGTTTTCATAGCATACAATTGGAGATAACTCTAGATGATTGAAATAAAATCTTCTAGGAAAGTTAAACTTGGATATGCAGTATTGAATAATTGGGAAAAAAAATGATCGGAAATGATGGATAAAATACACCTTTTATACATTGAAAACGTTGGAGATAACTAGAGCCTAATATTATCCTAAGTCGTTTTAAAGTGAAAACAGTTATAATATGCAAAAAAAAATCTACGAAATTCCGTTTAATGATTTTAATTGTATATCTTTTAAATTACTAACTAATTGAACACGTTGTTCTAATGACCATTGAGGATACCAAAAATGAAATAAACGTATTTGACATTGAAATATATCTGATGAATCTGATCTTTCAACAAATTCTGAATTAATTTGCAAATTCGTATTCATTAAATGTGCTAAGAATGTATCATTCATTTGATGACCAATAGTATTATTCTGATGTATAGAACTATTGTCATGCTCATTGGTATTCATTTCACTTATTATGGATAATGAATCATCAATGGATAAATGATGATCCACCGTTTCGAGACAATTTAATGTAGAAAGAAATAATTCACGTTCAGAGTTGTTCCATTCAGAAAACCAATGAAGAACTAAACGTACCGCCTGAATTGGAGGTATTTGTATATTCATTGAAATTATTGGGTTCCAAGAAATCTTGACAAACTGAATGTTTCGAAGTATAAAAAAGTAAAGTTAAGATTTTAGTAGTATTCAACAATTGCTTCTCATCAATTGAGAACAGGCTAAATTTGCAAATAAGAAATATTAATATGTCAATGGATTTCAGACAGAAATTCAGTGAGATCACCAGAAATTTAGTGGACATGAAGTGGAAAGTACTAGAGGATTTAGGATAATTAACGAATATCAGACGCGTTACTTATTTCCCTTTGTAGAGGGGATGAGTATCAAGTTTTTCCCAAGGGATCTATCTATACAGTAAGACAACGTGGTCAATCAAACTATATTCTAATAAACATACTTAACCCTAAATGGTTTCACTTACCAAATTCCTTTAAAAATCCACTGACTTGTATTCATCCAGTAAATTTCACCTTAGTTGTGTTGTTTCGTTACCTCATCGCTTTTTCTATTGATTATCGTTGGTAGATTCATCTCCTTTACTTCACATAGTTAGGTTTCAAACAAAAATCTTCATCAATCATAACTGCAATATTCACAAACACTAACTGACAGCATCTTACCATATTTTTTATCTAATTCTGAAGTTCCCTTTTGAAAATAATTCACTGGAACATGAAAATCTTTTTATAGGTAACTAGATCATTCATTGTAACTATATTCTGTATGAATATGATAGGTTTTCAAATAGAATGTGACTTCATTATTTAACAGCAAATCTTGTTCTTAGCCTTGATTAAACATTGTAAAATGAAATGTATGAAGTAATTTTCACTTATTATATAATAATTGTACTTAATGAAATATACGAGGATATTTTCACTAGTCAAGTGGATACTTATCCAATAAAAATGTTTGGGTATTCAGAATTGCCACATTTGGAATTGTAAAGTAGTATTCAAGTGTTAGTGTTGCGTTCACTTCTCGTCTGGTCTTTATGATGAAATTGTTTTCTTCATCTAGTCTGTTATAACGATTTCTAGTTGTAACATCATGAGATCTCATCAAAAGTTTCTATCGATCCCAAACAAAATATAACTTTTTCTATGAACACCTAACAAATTAACCAAAACGTCAAAAAACAAAGCCGACAAAACAATACAAATATTAGGAATACATATATCACTCACCTATAGTTTCTTTGTAGTGTTCAAATTGAGAAGTTAGACAGTTATTTGCAACTACACAAGGATCATGTGAAAGTAAAGGGACTTCATCAGTTTCTACGACATCCAGTCAAACTTGATGCTAACGAATGCCTAAATCATTACCGTTGAAAGTAATTGAGCTGAATAGAAAAAATAGTATACAAGAGAAAATGAACCAATGATGTGATGCAAAAGAGTTAGATTATTAACAAAAGAATAAATAAATCAACAGAATAATGAATTACTGGTATTATCATGTTAGACTGGAGAAGTTGCTTGCCGCAGCAAGGTTATAGGTTATATCATTTTGAGCAATAGACTCAGTAATTGATCATTCACTTCATCACTGAGAATATGTTACTTTAATTCCTTCGTTTGTCAGTCATCATTGTTCATCTCGTCGTCCTTATATTTGATTATAACAACTCAGGACAGTTTATATTTCTGCCCAAATCTAAACTGATTGACATATTTATGGTATAGGATGATAACTTTTTTTATCTTAATGAAAAGTATAGAAAGCAATTAAGGATTTTAATAAGCTTATATATAATAGCGTAAAGTAAAATGTACTTCTATGGATGTACTAGTTGAGTGCATTCAATTTTAACCAGAACAATAACAACAGAGAAAACGTACATCAACAATACGCTGATAAAAGAAAATAGAAAATCATAACGTAAACAATATTATTAGTAATTCAGTCAAGTACAATGAAATAGCTGCATTTTCTCTTGGAGAATAATTTAACATCATAATAGTATGTAGCAAAAAAAGAATACCAGTAAAATGCAACAATAATAATAATTAATTAATGGCAACCATTGTAGAAAAAAAATAATGTTAATGTAATGAGCAGTGTGTTAGATAACAAATTCAGTATATAAGTAGTAAAATTTTGATCGCAAAAAAAAGTCAAAAAACCATGGTTTACAAATTTCAAAAGATAACAAGCATTGAATTCATGAAATACACATATTATTTAAAATGAATAATCGATTATATACTACTTCCTTCATTTAGAATTTGATCATAACATGCTTGTAATGTATTCATTAGATAAGGTAATAATCCATGAAGTGATAAACGTTTCGGTGCTAAATGTTCAATAAAATCCAATTCAGCACCTAAATACATAATTCCAGAGCGTATTACAACATATTGTATAATTGGTAATAATTGATCAAGTTTAGATAAGTGAGATAATGTATCCGTCGAACAAATTGATGGGTTTCTGCAATCATTATTATTCTTAATTGATGTTTGTAGATAAGAATCGGAATGTTTACTTTTACTAATTATCTAATAATGTTGGATATTTTATTTGATACACACAGATATGAGTGAACACAAAGAACTGTAATAGAAAGAGATAGGAGGATAAATAATTACTAAAACATTCGAAATTAGTGAGCTACAGTGTGATTAACAACAATAGACAAAACGTAATAATAAAACAAAGCTGTGATTACGCAATCGAATATCAAAGAAAAAGAGATCAGTACGATACCAATTTTAGTCCCTGATACTAGAAGTAGTACCATATATCTTATCTGGTCTATGAATATAAGTGACATCACCAACGATCACCATACAAACGATATGCTTTTTTGTAATGTATAACAATTTCTTGTGAACTGACTTATTAATCGTTCCCTATTTTGTCAGAAACGTTAAATATAATTTTTTAATATCTGCTTCAATCTAGACAGTACCTGTTGTACGGTAGATTAACAGTGCATGCATGTTTAAATGTTACGAAAGAAATTTCAGACTAAAACTTCTTTGTAACCATATGATAACATCAATATTAGTAACACATCCAATTAAGACGGATAGACCAAATAAACTGACGACTAATAAATTCTGATTTCGGTCCTAAAATAGTAACTTATAGATAAGTTTCGATACTTAACTTTCTCATGCATGATATTTACTCCAAAGAGCTAACAACCATGCTGCATCAGAAGAAGATAAACGAAAAAACATAGGAATAAAGTAATATTATTTATTTTGAATAAGGGATAAAGTCTGATTGAAATAAATGAAAAGTAAAGCACTGAAACACATTTTATATTGAAAAGCTTTGTCGTGAAATTATGAATTGTTAAAAGACATCTAAGCTATACACAGAAGCTTCGTCGTAATACTCTAGAACTGGAAGGTCTACATTTATTATGCATCAAATTGATGACTATAGTGTTTAAATAACTTTTAAAAAGGTTTCTTATAATCAAAGGGTGAGTACGTCAACTACTTAATATATCACCTAGCTTCAGTATGAAATGCTATTATTAAGCTATTCAACCGATGACTGACCTCCTTTACGAATAAGATATTTACAAGTAATTGATCATTGAGTAATGACCAATGTTATATGTGCCTATTCGGTTACTGTATCAATTTCCTTGAGATTGAAAGCACGCTTTGCTGAGAAGTGCCAAAGGGGAAGAAACCCGGATTTAGAGTTTGCTTTTTACTACTCTCAGCTATCAACTAAAAACATAGTGGCCACTACGTTGAGTCACTTAGACTTTGTGTGAGCTCACTATTAAATAAAAGTCTTTGACACATAAAACATACATTTCCCTGCTGTACAACTTTATTTTAATATTAGTAAGGGAAGATTCATGGAGAAAGTTGAATGTCATTGAGATCAAGAACAGATGATTATTGGAAGATAGGAATCAGTTGACAGCCGTTTTGTCCTAGTATGAAATTTCTCAGAAGCCCCCATTCATAACCATACCGAAAGGGATCGTACCCACGATCTTTTGGTGTCATAGCGTGCTTAACCTCTAGATCACCACCAAGCTGGCATACAATACTTTGGATGTTTAACTTCAACCAATTTGTGATATTAATCAACCGAACTCCGGGAATTACCTCCAGCTACTAATGAGTACACGATAACTAATGTTGTACATTTTTTTCATTGGAAATAAGCCAAACCAAGATTAAATTTAACTTACATGATCTATAGTGGGGAAGGTTTGACATATAATTGACATTTTTCTAGTTGGGGGTTTTTTATGGCTATAAATTGAATAAAATAAATGTTTAAATTTAGTTTCGGAAATAAGAGCCAATCAATATGCACGGACAACCCAAACAACATTAATAACTTGATATTAGTGAAAAGTAAACTTTATGAAATTAGTATGATTATTTCATTAATTTAAAGACCAGATAGTATTAAATTGCATTCTCGCAATACCAAACAGTTTCACCTTTAACCAACTTTGCTTATCTAAAGTGGTTGGGACATGAAGGTTCAATTTATCATGAAGATTTCCAAATTTAGCGTCCATCGACAAATGAGAAATTTTGGTATGTTGTGGAGAAATTAAATCCCACAGGTAGAGGTTCTTCCTAAAATGTGTAGCGCAAATACATCACATTTTTTAGATCAACTCGGTCTTCTCATTGATCAATCAAAATTTATGAAAGGAACTAATTGCTTTAAATCCTATATTTCTCAAACCGACGATACGCACTCAACCTTCATCATACGCACGACACAGGGATGAAAATGTGACTATTACAAGTCATATGTATAATGCAGAATATTCATAAAATCGCATTTATTCTACAAATCAATGAATGATAAGGAAATGGTCACTAAATACTTTGCCATTCGATCTGTTTCATTGTTTATAAACTTGAATATTACCAGTTAATTTACGTCATAATAAGTTCAACAATTAATCTTTAACATTCATCCTTATAAAACTAACTGAAATGATTTTAGATCGATGCTGACCTCTTGGATTTCAGTCGGGAATAAATGAATGGTTTTTATTTTTATTTCCTAACCTTAGGTATGTTACATCAGGATTAAATGAAATATTACTGAATAGACTGTAGTTGACGAAATCAATATATTATTAATTTGAACTTACCTCAACTCACGAAGAAAACATAGCTGAATTAAAGACAGAATACTGATCCGCTTCAAGTGACTACAAATTAAATAAACGTAGGAAATTTATAATAGTAAATAAATTCTGTTGTATATGAAAGGTGTGCAGCATGTTGTTCATAATGAACTATGTAAACAACGATGATAATTGAATTGGAAGATGAATTATATAGACTAATTGCATCCCTTTTGTCCCTTAGACCGTTTAAAACTTGATAAAACTCAAAATACTAATCAAATATGAAAGAACCTAGGTAAAAATCAATGTACAGATTGAGCAACTGTTTGATACCATTAATTGCTTCTGGCCCACTATGGGTTATTTGGAAAATAAATCCTTAATATGTTCTACTTTGTGTTATATAAGCACGTGAATCATTAAGTAATTCATTGGTTAAAAAGAATAACGACTGAATATGATGACAACCAACATTTTACAACGTCGACTATCAAGCTAGAAGTTATTTAAGTGGAAAGACTAAAAGACTGGTCAACCGCAAGATGTTGATATTAAGGCATTACATTTTTGGCATCGATAAAAATTGCACTACATGGGAAAATACGATAAAGTATCCTAAAATTCCCTCAATGCTACGATATGTAATGAATTTTTACTTGACTTATCAAGTTCCCATTTTCCTTTGTTAAACTATCAGCATGATTTGATCCATAACCAGAGCTCATAAAAAACAATGCTACACAAGAAATAAACCTTTAAGTCAATTATGTAGACGAGACATTATGATGATGAACAGAATTCTACTTACTGGTGAGTTACTACTGTCAGAAGATGATGTGTCCCATAACCAAAAATTTCTTTAAAAAAGTCAACTTAATACAATAAACATTAATAACATCGACAAATAGCAGTAAAACTAAAGGACGAGTATACTGCAAAGCAATTTGCTGTTCTGCTTTATGGCCGTGAAACGTGGCCTCTAAAAGTACAGAGAATAATCACAAGTTAATAGCATATAATCATGAGTGTCTTTGAAGCACTGCTTACGTATTTTGGGACCATCGAGTGAGTAATGTTGAGGTTAGACATAGGGAACTAAGATAGTGAATCTTCATCGACTGAGAAGGTTGGACTGTTTATTCATGCTCAACTACACCCCACCTCAACAGGAAATATTGACTGGTATCGGAATAAGTTGGAGAAAATGTAAGAACGGCCAAACCAAAACCATTTTATTTGTTTATGAGCCGTGTGGGTAGATGCAGACTAGTTGGTTGGGGAACAAATGATTACCGTTAGCAGCGATTAAAGACGTTGTGTAATATGAGTCAGAATTGACCTTTATGACGCATGTCCACTCACTGACTTCCTTTAGGTATTCAGTCTAAAATTATCTTACACATTTTACTCTGAAAATTCATTCATTTTTCTTGAATCAAATTGTTTTTATTTAATCTTTTCAACTACTACCACTGATACTTTTACTAATTCTACTACTCTAGCATGCCTTGATAGTTTTTTTGCTGTAGGGTTATAGTGTGGCAAATTGGACCAATACATATATATTTCAGGTCCCATAATATTCATGACTGATTGATTGACGGTAAAGCTATCATTCAGTTAATTAATGAGAGTTTGTGCCAAAAAACCCAGAAAGTTGTACTTTTGTATAATTTTATCAATGATTTTATCATATGATCCCCAACGGTAGACCATTAAAATTTCCAAGTCCTTAAATCTGGTGTTTTCTCAAACAGATTTGTAGCTGTGGTTATCTGAGTGAATCGAAATGAGTGATAACATATGATGACATATTACATCGAAATTTCTGTGCATGTATAACCAGATAAAGAAGGAATCTACATTTTTCAATGTGATATTTTTTAGAACTGATAGTTAGTTTGGTAGACAATAGTCCGTTAGTTTCCATTCGTTGTAGCATCTTTTGATCCAAGTCGGATGGAATAAAATTGTTCTTTTATCTTATGAGCTACTTTGATTGCAGTGGGATTTAGAACTTTTATGGTGATTTCTGACATATTTATCACACATGGTGAGATGATTTGCCTTTTTGTTGATCAGGATGAATTTTGGTGTTGCTATGTTGATGACTTGCTAGACACTTTTTGATGAATCTGTAAGAATAGCTATTTTTAGTAAGGACAGACAGATGATGGTTTATTCAATTTTTCTGGTGGTGAGATTGATGTGTTGTGATCAGTTAAACCATTAAAATCAAAGAAAACAACCAAAGACATAATGGACTAATTACAATTCACTATAACAGTCAAACTGATTGAAACGTAACATAGATCTGTTATAAGACAAATTATTCACCTAAATGGTAAGCCGAATTGTACCATCCTTTAGGTCCGAATTACTCTCTATTTACTTTGATTTCAATCCACAGATAGAGGGTAATTAGACCTTAATACGAAAGCTATGAAATAAGTCGAGTAGTATATCAAACACTACTTGAGAATTACAATAATTTGCTCAATGAATATTTGATGGAATTGAATTAGTTTTTGGTAAAACCACATAAAGTTTGGATTCTTTGATGTATTTCCTTCTAGAGAATAAATTATTATTCGTCTGTCTACTTGTAGTGGTCAGTATGGCAACTGCACAGTTTATAAATATGTATACGTACACAACAATGATATATCATAACCGAAAACTGACAATTTTAGAAAAAATATAAACAAATGGAATCGATTATTATTTATCACAGAATTAAATCTACTTCATTCTAGAGAAAGATTAATTTGCTAATCGGTAGAACACATACACATAATAAAGATTTCACGTTATGTCCATCACATATTGGTCTCAGTTGGTGTACCATTAAAAAGCAAGGAGCACTATACAGCTGTTTTATCCAAGTATGGGACTCGTCAGTACTGCACATCCACAACTTCACAAAGGACTGAACTCATGATCTTTAGGACTCGCGGTCAATGCTTAATAATCATCAGTTTGTTATATGCCGCAACAATCATTCAGTCCCAATGGTGTTAACTGTTTCGTTCCCAGCAGGTCTGATTGATCTATATCAAAGAATATAACCTATAAATTAAGTCAATCACCAGAAAAGTCAAAAGAGCTTAGTTTTAAATTAACAGAAAAAGAAACAAAACTTAAAGGATTTACTTATCTAATTCAAGGTAAGAATAAAGAATAAAATCGAGTTTATCATGTGATGCCTGACGATACGTTCAACAGGGTTGATCCAATAGGAAGGACGATTAAACATTGAGAAATATTGGATATTGAATGTTTTATTCTAGTTTGAGCCCTCCAATTGCTGTCAGTTTGTAAGGTTAACTATTTTCCAACTATATAAATATATAAGCGAAAATAAATAAGCGAATAGCAATGATTGTATCCTTATTCCCATCTTCACAGAAAACTGACTTAAAGATTGACTTCCCGAAACGCTAGACGGCAGCAATGACGCTCCATCGAGTAAACTTTTTTGGATTTCTTCAGACTAATAATCAAAATTATCAAACACTGGAATTATTTTAAATTTCAACCGCTGAGATTATTTCAAATATAATTTTTATATATAATGAATTAAGTAGAGTATGTTATACAACACATAATGGATAGTTGATTGAATGATGTAGTTAACCAATACATGATATTATTTATCTATTTTAATATATATACATACACTTCATTTGTATTTATATTGCGAATTTTAAATGAAAATAAAAGTGATCTACCTAGAAAAGGAATCTTGACAGAAAATGAAAACTAATCCTTAATCAATACAAGAATGTAAGGTAAGTGATGATAATGAGATATACATGAAGTACACACGAATACACAAACAAACATACACACATACATATACTTATTTACCCACTTAATTGAACTTCCGCTAATCTGCACAGAAATAATCGTTTACTATTAATTGAGTTATGTTTTGCTTCAAATTTTCTTTTACGTTCGTTTTTAATATTATTTTGATTAGAGAAATAAAGGCGATGGTAGTGGTCTACATGAGTTGAACGTGTAATTTGTTCATTAATTTTTCCATGTCAAATTTTTCATTAACAGTAGTAAACTAATAACACTTTATACTTGGCTTACAAATCTAATTAATTACTAACAGTATATATATACAATCAAATTCTCAACGACCTAAAAAATTATTTGTTTTAAACAGATTAAAATACCTGAAAATGTTTATTCTCAATCCATATGAATAAAAATTTTAATAAAAACTTGTAAATTTACTAATTTTGTGATTTTATACACGGTAAACAAAACAATCGAAGCTGAACTTGAAGCAGAATGAAATACCGTATCAGTACAAATGAAATAAAACTAACAAACTGAATAGTAGAGGAGACGAAATAATCATAATAATAAATAATAATAAGACAGACTAATCAACGAGACCATATTTCACAAAGAACATGAACGAATACTAGAAGGCAAGATCTAGAAGGAAATAAGGAGCGAATTCATCTGAGTCATTGTGATCAATTCTCAAGCATTTCGCTCAACATGTCCAACCACTTATGAAGACTATTGAGCGGACCCCAACCACGTTATATATACCCTTACGTCATTCCAAACCAGATTCCCGATTTTCAGTACTTTTCATTGTCACTGATACTATGATTATTTCAGTTTCTTTGCTATTCATCTTTATCTTATGTTTATGTAAGCTACAACAACTTTGGCAGAAAAGCACACGTTTGTTGTATTTCTGAATGGCAGTATTATTAAATGTACCACTGAATTTATCGACCACTAGAAGATTGCACGATAAAATGTTTAATATACCCTAGGAAAATATGAAGAGAATAGAAAATAATTGTTAGTATCACATGACGATATGACTTTGAATACATATATAGGAAGGCGAAAATTTAGTAGTCAATTTACACAACAGCTCGATTATTGTAATATAATCAGATCTCTGATACATCAGAAGAAAGAAAGAAGAAATATGTAGAAAAACGTTTTGATTAGTGAAGTCGAACCACGACGAGTTTAAGACAATCACTCACCAGTGAGATTAAAAAGCGGTTGCGCAATATCGCAAATTGACTGTAGCTAGATATATAAACACTATTGGATACCAGTGCAGTGGTGTGAAGATTAATTGCTCACCATGAGGCCTGAAGGTCCTCAGTTCAACTCTCGATGAAGAGTTCATAAATGAGCACTCCGGAGAAGCCAAATATTAGGAAATAACAAGTGCCCGGTGACTCCTGATTTTGAATGGTTGTTTAACTGAAATCAGTTTTTGATGTTTACTATTAAAGAAAAAGTTAGTAATGACAAGTGGTGTCAATAAATGTTAACATCAATCATCTGAAAAAATCCCCTCAGATGTAAGACAGCAAGATTAAGCCAGATAATATTTGACTCAATAAAACAACAAGCAGTCACACTCAGTAAGTCCGGAGTAGAACTCACTGAGAGGAAAGGAAATCACATATTTAACAGTCAATAGGCATTTAGTTTATTGGCTGACATCACGAAGGCGCCAAAGATGGCGCAGATTGGCATAAGGCGCTCTAGCTTTCACTATACGTGCATTGATCTCATCGCTCACGCCACCACCAGCACTTACGCAGCTAACTCGATACACGAACTTCTCGACTACTTCTATCTGCTCCGCATCCAGGGTGAGTATAGGATTAGAATCTTGCGTCTTGTAGAAGTACTTTGCACTTGGAAGGTGCGAAGCACATACCATACCTACGGACATTGATTGCCAACCATGGGAATGCATCTCCTCACGATGCTTCACTGCCTTGTGAATCAGACCTTTAGGACAAAGGCTCAAGAAGTGGACCCCTAAGAAAACCACCTGCTTCGATTTGGGCACCCGGGCAGTATTACAGCCCACAAACACAAATATGGTGTGGCGCATATATATTTGGTGCCCTATTGTACCAATATTTATGTGTTGAAATAAATAAATAATAAAAGACAATATCATCCGCATACTCAAGGTCGAGAAGTCTTTCTCCAGGCAACCGATCCACACTGCCATTAATTACAACCATCAGAGCTGTTTCCAGAATGTCATCGATGGCAAAGTTGAAGAGGAGTGGTGAGATTGGGCAACCCTGTCTAACCCCACTGCTCGAATGGAACAATGAAGAGAGGTAGTTGTACGCCATCACTCTGTCTGAGTTGTTTGCATATAGGGTCTTTAAGATGTTAATTAACTTCTCAGGAACACCCTTCTTCAATAGACAGTCCCTCAGAACAGTCCTGTCCAACGAATCGAAGGCAGCCCTGATGTCAAGAAACACTACGATTGTTGGACTGTGATAAGTATGACGGTGTTCTAACATTTGGCGGAGGGTGAAGATATGATCAATACATCCTCAACCAGAACGAAACCCAGCCTGCTCCTCGAGAGTCAATCTTTCTCGAGTTTTGAACAACCTACGAAGTATGACGGAAGCCAGTAGCTTGGACGCGATCGGAAGTTGACTTATCCCCTGATATTTGTTACAGAAACGACGTGAACCCTTTTTAAAGATAGGGACAACTATCGACTCATTCTATGACGTTGGTACACTCTCTAGCTCCCAAACCTTTGTAAACAACGTTGTCAGTTATTTAACCAGGAAGTCACCACCATCTTTAAAAAGAGCCGGAGGTAAGTCATCTGGGCCAGGTGATTTGTAGCGCTTCAAGAGTTAGAGTTCCTTGCGGACTTCCGCCTCATTTGGTGGATCAGTCGTCACCGGTCATGGAGGGCAGGACAGTCTGACCGATGTTGCCGAAGCAGCAGGCCAGTTGAACTGTCCCTCGAAGAATTCTGCCAATCGTCCAAGACGTCGATGGATGTCAGTGATTGGCATCCCGTCATCCTCGCAGATTGTTTCACTCACACCAGACTTCTTGCTGCCAGTGGCTCGGATGAGCCGCAAGCGGCTTTACTCGCCATTTTGATGGCGTCGTGAAATTGCTACCAACTTGCTGACATCAATCCTTTGGTGGCGGTCACTTCGTTGGCCACTGAGAAGTAAGGTAAGATTGGCGCAAACAAGGGCATGATCAAAGTCCAGATAGGTACACCAAAAGCAGTGGCAGTCTTGTACGCAACCACGCCAGCGGTAGCTGATCGCGATGTGATCAATCTGAGTCCAGGCTTGAGATGCAGAGGGAGGACTCCAGGTGGCACATCGGCGATGACTGTGCCGAAAGTTAGTGCTAGCCAGAAACGGGTTGTGGTATGTACACAGTTGCAGTAGACGGTCCCCGTTATCTGACCTGCGACCAACGAGTCCCCATCGGCCACCTAAACGACTCTCTTCTGTCCCTAGACGCCCGACCTGAGCATTCAAGTCTCCGGCTAGGACTACAATATCTGTCGGACGCACTTTCTGAAGAATTTTCAAGCCATCAACCAGTGTACACATTACCTGTGTTCAAAAATAAACAGAATAAACCAGTGAAGAAAACCAAAGTGCAAAATCTGTAAAACAAAAGACGGTCTGCATTACAGACCGAATTTAGAAAACCTGAAAAGCAGAAAATGCTGTACAGACTTTTAGTCCCAGTATAGGACTCCTCGACAGTGAGGACCTACGACGCCTTCAAGGATCGAAAGACCTAAAGGCTTTGCGGCAATGGTAACTTAGTTATCTGAGGGTTAGGCGCTTGAAGTGGAATTCGAAGCTCCTAGGTTTGGTATCCAGTGGAATAGTGCGTAGGTACTGCTGAGGAATCCTATGCTAGAACAAAACACCTCTCTAATACTCCCCAGGTTTTAGTGATATCCCAACCAAGGTCAATCAGTAACAAATATAACCTAGAATTTAGAACCAATCTCCACGAAATTCCCGTCAACTAGACCAAATTATTGTCCTCTAAAAAACAAATCAATATCAATGAAGTATTATTTCAACCACTTAACTATTCATTGGTAGGATCTACCAAACCCAATCTCCCAATATTGGGGAAAATTTGATCCATTTCGGGGAAATGGCACTAAAACCCCACTCTTGCTACTTAAGTAGCTGAAATGTATTTGAATGGTTGTCTATCTTAGATCGGTTTGTAATTTTTCTAGCATTCAGTAATCCCCACATATTTGTATCAGTTAACTGATACTGATCATTATCAGATGAGCACTAGCAACTATAGGGCGAGACTCTAATTTAAAGACGACCTTAGAACGAATCTTAAGTGACCTTGACAATTATTAGCCAATCAG